ATTGCTTACAATATACCATGCTTCCTTGCAAGTTCACACCCTCATGAACGGAAGCTGAGAGCTGCAACTCTCCCAAAAGCCTTACTCTCTTGACACCCTACCCCTCGAGTCAAGCTCAGCCAAAACATACTGGACCTTTGCTAGATATCAATCAACATATGGTATGATTCCCTTAGCTAACTAATAAAGTCAGACCCAAGACCCCTCTGATACTAACCCAAAACCCCTTTAATACTAAATGTAAACTCTTGAATTTGGATTTCTTGGGAGGTCATCCAACTAAGTACTATTTAAACCTAAGGATGATTAACCCCAATATCTCAAGACCCTTAACTGATTGAAAAAGGGGGTGCACTTTTGTTCATAAACCCTTTCCCTTTATATTTGAACCCCATGAATTGTCTCTCAAGTGATTTTCTTTGGTTGCTTACAACATAATATTGACTATTTAAACTAAAAGACTAATCCCTACAATTTTGATTCATCCACTTATAATTATGCCTAAGAAGGATCCACTAATGCTATACTAAATAACTACAAACCAGCTTATTTACCAGTCATAGTAAACCCAAGAGAGGTTTACTTTTATTCACGGTAATATGGAATAACTTATAGGACTAACGATATGTTAATATTAATCTTGCCAACTCAAAATGTAACCTTGAATTGCTAATATGTCTCACTCACAGGCCTAAACACAAACTCGTGTAAATTTATTATATGAGCCCAAGCAAAAATTCAAACTATATAATACAAAAAAGTAACCAAAAACCATATCCAAGGGACATATATGAAGCTATAGCAACCAAATATATACCTATTCGTTTTTTTTTATTTATTTTTTTTGAGATTCACTCTTTGGTACAACATGTAATATATGATTTTCACCCTTTATCCTATAGTGTTTTATTATAAGATAACCATGAAGCGAAACTTTAACATTTAAATACATGGACCAAAGGTAGCAAAGTTGTAGCACACTTTATCTCTCTCCCCTTAAGCCAATTGGAAAAGGGGCAATTGTTTGATGAGAGAGCCCTTAGTGGCTATTTTATCCCCATTTATCCCCCAAGGTTCCAAGGATCCATGGTGACAGTATATCCAAATCTCATCCCATGATCATATGCGCTACAAAAGTGGAACCCGAGTTTAAAGCCTTAGGCCATTGAACAAAGAGACAGAGCTAAACTCCTAAGCATATAACCAAGAAGCGAAGGAACTAAAGTACAAAATAACTCTTGAGTGTTCAACTTAAGAAATGAAGGGATAAAAGCACAAAGTGAAGAAACAGGTAGTGGTTTAATGCAAGGATATGAATACTCCATTAGTTAATATGGTATGGAGTTTGGGCTTGAACTCAAAATAAAAATAAACATGCAACCATGGAGTTAAACTATAGTTCAAGTTGGTTGCCATCTACCCACTATCTTTACTATACATTTGGAACCCCCCCCCCCCCCCCCCAAAAGTAATCCACACTTTAGGATATCACCCCAATCCCAAAAATGCACACTTTAAGCTTTCACCCCAATCCTAGAAGCTATGCATTTGGAACCCCCCCCAACCTCAACCCCAACTACAAACAACACACTCTTTAAACTTTCACCCCAATCCTAGGAGTTAGTCTCTAAAACATGGGATTAACACCATAGGGTTTAGGACACTCTCTACATTTAATATTAGTAGATATGCCTCTTAAGCAAATCTAAACACTTACCATAAATAGCATATGGATTTGGAACAGAACAAAGGATAATAATGAGAGTGTTTTAGCAGACACAATAAGGTATCATCTAGCTAATATTGAGGGACTAAGCTTAATAGTGTAAGGGTTCCCAACACTAGCAAGTGCAAGCTAATGATTTTTTTTATCACTGTGTCAAGTATATTTTACTTAATGACAATTTAGGATTTCCTTTATTAGTGCCCTTCCTGTTTAAATTCACATATGTTGGCCAGTTTCTCAACTAGCTTAGGTGGAAATTATAAAGGGAACCAATAGTACTAACCTCCTACCATCATGCTAGTAAGGAAAGAATATCTGTAAAGACTAGCCGATAAATATCTTTCGATACATGAAGTTACATTTACGGCATAAGTGAACCCCTTGATGATATTCTTTGAAAGAAGGATGAAAGGGTTATTAACTTATTCACATAAAATCCCTTCACCATTCACGTAACTTCTTATTTCCCAATAACATTAACAAAACGTTGTTGATACCAAGGCCTTCACCTAAGAAATAAAAGATGTTAATTTGGAAAATGCTTATGATACTAATATGTGTGGCCAACTTCATTACATGCTCAATAGTGAATATCACAGCCACATCTACATCTTTGCCATTGTTCTTGAGTATGAGTAGCAACAACATTGTAGCACACCCTATCTCTCTCCCCTTAAGCCAACTGAAAAAGAGGCAATTTCTTGATGAGAGAGCCCTTAGTGGTTATTTTATCCCCATTTATCTCTCAAGGTTCCAAAAATCCACGGTGACAATATATCCAAATCTCATCCCATGATCACATGTGCTACACTCACCCCCCTTTCAGAAATGTCAATATCCTCATTGACTATTGACTAACAACCCCTACTGAGCCAAGGGGAATCAGCACTTCCATTTCCGCACTGAATCTACCAATTCTTTTATTGTGTAGACTAGCTATTCTATGTAAGGCAATTAGTCATCCACCCATACTGCAGTCTCACGGTGGATACCTTTGTCTGTGGATACTCCACACAAGGTCATCCACCCGTACTGCAGTCTCACGGTGGATACCTTCGTCCGTGGATACTCCACACAAGAGGCATGGATGCCCAATGCATACGATTTCAAATTTAGGGATAGGAATATACCTTACTCAAGGGTATATTATATTTTTAAGTAGCCACTAATCAATGGGAATCAAACCCGTGCCATTTGCTCTGATACCAACTGTAACACACCCTATCTCTTTCCCCTTAAGCTAACTGGAAAACACGCAATTGCTTAATAAAAGAGCCCTTAGTGGCTATTTTATCCTCATTTATCTCTCAAGGTTCCAAGGATCCACGGTGACAATATATCTAAATCTCATCCCATGATCATATACACTACAAACATTAACCTCCATTGGAATATAATCATTTCACCCAAGAAGTGGAGTTGAAGTATATGCAATTACAAGTGGGAGAGGTGATGTCTCATGATGTTATGCCAATCAAAGAGCATTGTCCAAGGCAGTTAGGGTATATAAGTCCTATAAAATTTTGATGAAGTGCTAGTCATTACCAACTTGATCTGTCTAGTATATACATTTCTACATGAAGCAAAAGTGCTCTAGAAACAAACACTAAATTACATAATTAATTCAAATGGCTTTTGATAAAAATAATACAATTACTGAATGGCATCATCATAATTGCTAACATGTTCAAATATATGCTCAAAGGAGTCTAAGGAGAAAACTCCAATTTACACAAGTGGCTATGCTGAAACCATTATACCATTGCAATATTGTCCCTTAAAAATATATAGGGAATTTATATAGATATTAAGTATCATCCTAAGGATGAGAGATGATAATCATAATAAAGTGATCAAACTAATGGATTTTCATAGAAATAATCCACCTAGATACGAGGATTGGCAAGTTGCACCATGTGCCATAAATGCCACCATTAATTGAGTCTGATTGATAAATTACAGCCATATAGCATTGAGCAATTGCATCAATTACTACTCCAAAGTCAAAGGAGGAGTATACTGTTCTACCATAAAAATGAACAAAACAAAAATAAAAAAGAAATGAAAAACTATAGGAACAAAAGAGATAATAACAATGTAAAAGTTAAATCTATACAATAATAAATAAATCTAAGCACTTTTTAAGGAGAATAAAAGCTGCCCCTCACTTCCACCAATGTGACACATATGCACATACATAATTAGCCCAAAATTTTAATTTATATATGAGAGTGAGTGGTCCAAGTGGAACCATAGGTATCAAAATCTCATTATGTGAATATTAGTATACAGCTACAAACTTAAACCTCACACAATAAATATATATAGAAAAATCAAACACTTTTTGCCACTAGACTTTTCAAGCAATATTACTACAACTACAATAGTGTATTGCATTATCTTCTAGTAAAGCCCTTTATCTTAGATGATGTTGAAGTTTAGTAGATTCATTAGCATCCAGTCTTCATATTCACTCAGAGATGATCATAAAGATAAAGTCCATTACATAGGTAAGCATAGAAGGAATAAAAACAACAACCACCACAACACAACATCAATATCAACTTTGCAGAAAGAATTCTTTGCCAAAAAGCACAAGGAGATGAAAAGGTTCCATCCTTAGAATAGAATAGGTCCTCTCAACTATTTCTAATTAATAAAACAAAGAATGCCCAAAGCAATTGTGATAAAACCATCTTAAATATACTGTTGGGTTGACTGTGGAGCTAAACGTGGGGCGATGTGAGCCACCTCAATCGCCATACCTGTGGCTATGGATGGAAACCTCAACATGTGGGAAGGTAATTGAAATCATGGAATTTGGTGGTGTGTAGGAGTGAAGTTCCGGAAAGAAATCATAGGCCAACCCGACCCTTATTCAATAATATTAGAAAAGAGATGCCCTCTCATACATTTCATACTTTACGTTGAAAACATAGGTATCAACCACTTGGCAGTGCATGCTGGAGCTTACATCGTAGTATGTAAGGCCCAACTATTGACAGTCAGCAACCATTGATTAAACTCTATCAAGCACCACTACATCAATGAAGGCTGCTTTGCTGTTGTTTCTGGTGTTTGCCTTTGCCACTCTCCAAATAGCACTGTCTTCTTCTTCTTTGGGCCTTTTGTCTTTGGATGATGGTGTTGCTGATCAGGATTCATCAGTGGTAGAACCAGCGCTAGCGTCCAGTTCTCTAATCCATCCTGAGATGGATGATCATGATCATGAAGATGGAAGTGGCTCTAACAAGTACAGGAGGAGCAACAACAATAACAATAACAACATCATCGTCAATATCAACATTTGCAAGAGGAAGTCTATGGACGATGAAGATTCAAAGCAGAAGGAGAAAGAAAGGAGAACTAACCATAGGGTGATCAATAAAACCACAATCGCAAATTAAAGGCCTACTTTGGAAATACTATTTATCAATTTCCCTGCCTCCTCCGTTCTCCCAGCTCGCAGCAATCCATCTACGATCGCAAGACAATCCTCCTCCGCCGGCTCGCATTCCCTGCTCCTGAGCTCCTCCACCACCGCCATCGCTTTGTCAATCTCGCGAGCCTTACACAGTCCACGTATAAGCGCCGAGAAAGCTTGCTCGGGAACTAAGTTGGCGGCCGAGGAGCTCTTCTTTGCTTTCTTCCTCATCACCTCGAACAGCTCGTAAGCGATCTCCATCCTGCCCGTCCTGGAGAATCCTTCCAAGAGCGTCGTGTAAGTCACCATTCCCGGCTCCAAACCGTGAGCCGCCATAGCCACCAAGAGCTTCCAGGCCTCGTCCATGTCTCCCAGCCGACACAGCGCTCCAATGACGCTATTGAAAGTACCCACGCTCGGCTCCACTCTCTTGTTCACCATCTCCTGCAAAAGCGTAAGAGCCTCCTCCGTCCTATCGGCGCTGCAAAGCCCCTCGATCACGATGGTGTAAGTCACCACGTCCGGCTTGTTTACGTTCTTGAGCACCTCCATGGCGTGGTCCACTCTCCCGGCCTTGCACAGCCCGTCGATCAGGCTGCTGTAAGTCACAGCGTTTGGAGCGACGTTCCTGGCGATCATCTCCTGGATAAACTCGGCAGCCTCGACGAATCTCTTGGCTCTCGAGTAACCGGCGACAACGATGCTGTAAGTCACCACGTCCGGATCAATGCCCGCCGCGGTCTTCATGTTCTCGAGCAGGAAGCGAGCCTCTTCCAGCCGGCTCGCGTTGCAAAATCCTCGCACCAGGCACGTATAAGTTATCCGGTCCGGAAGGCATGACTTTGTAGCCATCTCTTTGAAGAGCTGCTTGGCCTCTTCGATCCTTCCCAGCCGGCAATATCCGTCGAGCAGCGCGTTGTACGAGACCGTGTCGGGAGGGCAGCACGTAGCAGTCATCTCATCCATGAGGAGCCGGGCAGCGTCAACTTTGTGCGCAGCGCAAAGGCCGTGGATGAGTGTTGTGTAAGTGACGACGTTTGGGACGCAACCTTTGCTCGTCATCCTCCGGAACAAGTCGAGAGCTTGATCCAAATCTCCTGCCTTGCAGAGACCGTGAAGCAGGCTGCTGTAAGTCACCACGTTTGGAACGCACTTCCGGCCCTCCATGACCCCCAACATCTTCATTGCCTTCTCCAAGTTGCCACTCTTGCAAAAGCCGTCGATGAGAGCGGTGTAAGTCACGACGTCGGGCTTCCAAGCTCCATCCTCTCGCATTTCCATCTCCTGGAAGAGCTCGTACGCCTCGCCAATCCTTCGCTCTCGGCAGAGACCGGTAATGAGAGCGCTGCTACTCACGGCATCCAGGCGACAAGAGCTTGTGAGAATCTCTTTGTAGAGCTTGAGAGCCTCGTCCACCTTTCTCGCGTTGCACCACCCTGTGATGAGAGCCGAGAATGTAAACTTGTCAGGCTCTACGCCTTTAAGTTTCATCTCTCTCACCATCTCGCAAGCGCGATCCATTTTGCCGTCTCTACACAAGCCGTCGACCACGCTGGTGTAAGTCACAACGTCCGGAGCTATTCCATCCCTGGTCACCATCTCTCGCAAGATCTCGCAGGCCCTGTCCATCTCTCCTTGCTTGCAAAACCCGTTGATCACAGTGCTGTAAGTCACCAGATCCGGAGCTACAGACTTTCCATCTCTCATCTCTTTGAGCACCTCGTATGCTTTGCTCGTCAGCCTTGCCTTGCACAGACCATTCACCACGACGTTGTAAGTCCTCTCGTTGGGCGCCACGAATTCTCTCATCTTCTCGAAGCACGCCAGCGCCTGCTTGAGCTGATTCGCCTTGCAAAACCCGTCGATGATGATCGTCCAAGTCACCACCGTCGGCTGGCACTCCATCCCCTTGACGATCTCCATCGCCTTTACCATGTTTCTGGCCTTGCAATACCCGTGAATGACCGCATTGTAAGCCGAGGCACTGGAAGAAACCCCGGCGCTCTTCATCTCCTCCAGGAGCTGGGACGCGGCGTGCAAATCCCCGTTCCGGCAGAGCTTCTGGACGAGAATCGCGACAGTAGAGGCGGAGCTCCCACCCGAGGAAGAATCGAGGAGGAGAGAGCAAGCCTCTTTGATCCTGTGAGCTCGAATTAACGAGCTTACCCTGTCGTGATCGCCGGCATTGCCGATGCTCACCGCGGCCGTCGTCGCTCTGCGCGATACAATTGGTCGGCCACCGCATCGCTCGCAATCCAGGATCACCGCGGCCCTCGCCACAGACCATTCCATAAGCCCTAAATCTTCAAATTTTGACCTTTTACTAATTGCGTTTTTACCATTTGGCCGCCACGTAATCATCAAGATGATGTGTCAGCCACGCAGGCTCTACGTGTCTGCCACGTACGCCTCACGTATCAGCCCGTCTCGGTGACGGGCCGGCTGCCCGTCAGGCCCTTCGAGGTGCCGTATTGAAACCCTGATTTTCACGAGCAGAGGCTCTGTGTCAGATCCTCGCGCGCTGGCGATCGCGGCGGATTGTCGATACCACGGGCGCAATCGCCAGATCGTGGCAAGCATTCCTAGGTGAGCACGGATTGGTAGGGTTTCGAGGCGCGTATTGGCGCAATCTGGAAATGTTTGCCGTGGCTCTGGATCGAGCAGGATGATCGTCAGATAACAGCGGCCGGATTCTAGCTAGATCGCTCCTGCGATGCGGGAATCTCGAGAATTGGCAGCTTCTACGCGCATTGGTTGGCGCTGGTCTTAGGAAGGGGGCCATGGCGGAGGAGGATCGCAGCGATCGGCAATCTCTCCTTCAGCCATTTACTCCAGATGTCGGGGAGGGCGCCCCCGGCGATCTTCCGCGCAAGAGGGTCAGCTTCAAAGATCAGGACGTGGAGAGGACGTCTCTCGTCCATTTCGGGCAGGACGAGATCGTTTCCAGCGAGAGTGATGCCGAGGCATTGCTTCAGCCGGCATCAAGCTCGTCGGATCCAGCGGCCCAGTTTGACGTGGAGGCTCAGCAACCGGTTGTTACAAAGGAGAGGATCAGTATCAAAGACAAGGACATCGAAGCTAGGCGATCGGTGGCGCTGGAAAGAGCTCGCAGCTTTCAGGCCAGACTGAGTAGCGGGCCTGTTTTGTTGCGGCGCAGCTCCATGGCTCACGTCCGCGAGAGAGTGAGAGAAGTTCCTCCGGAATGGGCGTTGCTTCTCATGGGATGCTTTCTCGGGTTTTCGACTGGTCTGGCAGTAGTACTATTCGTTAGGACGGTGAGTTCTTCGTGTTCTTTCTTTTTTCTCTTTTCTAACCTTCTTCGCAACTCATTTCTTTCTTGTGTTGGACCTTTAACAGGAGCATTTGATACACGATTTTGCTTGGGCCGGCACGCCAGAAGAAGGTGCCGCATGGCTTCGAGAGCAAAAGCTTGCAGACACTTGGCATCGACTGATGCTGGTTCCTGTGTCTGGGGGGATCGTTGTCGGCGTCATGCACACGTTGTTAAGTATACTTGACCAAGTTAAGGCATCCAGGACACAGGAGAGACGAGGGAAGGTAGACTACTTGGCGGCCTCGGTGCCAGCGATCAAAGCCATGCAAGCGGCTGTGACGCTGGGAACAGGAAACTCTCTCGGACCCGAAGGACCGAGTGTGGATATCGGCAAGGCTTGTGCGCACGGGTGCTCGGAGCTGATGAAAAACAACAGGGAAAGACGTATAGCACTCGTAGCAGCCGGTGCTGCGGCGGGTATAGCTGCAGGTTCGTGTTTTTCTCCTTCTTGATTGTGGTAACTAAATCCTCGTTTAATAGGTTTTAATGCTCCCGTTTCTGGGTGTTTTTTTGCGATTGAAACGGTCTTGAGACCCTTGCATGCCGAGAATTCTCCACCCCTTACAACCGCAATGATCATCCTGGCTTCGGTCATCTCTTCTACAGTATCACAAGTTTTAAATGGAGAGAAGAGTGCATTTACAGTGCCGACTTACGAATTGCGATCAGCGGCTGGTAGGTGCCCAAAACTTGACTTTTCCTACTTTGAACTCACGTTTTCTCTTGTGTTGCAGAGCTTCCACTCTATCTAATGCTTGGAATGCTCTGCGGCGTTGTTAGCGTCATCTTCACCAGGCTGGTTGCATTTTTTACAGGCATGTTTGAATTCGTAAAAGAGCGCGTTGGTATTCCACTTTCTGTTACTCCGGCCATGGGGGGTCTTGGCATCGGCCTGCTTGCGTTGGCTTATCCGGGAGTGCTGTATTGGGGATTCACAAACGTGAACGAGATCATGCACTCCGGTAAAGACGCATCAGCTCCAGGAACTTCACTTTTGACACAGCTAGTCATTGCTAAGGTCGTCTCAACAGCGTTTTCAAAAGGCTCTGCTCTGGTGGGAGGTGTGTATGCTCCAAGCCTATTTATCGGTTCTGCGCTTGGCTCGGTTTACGGATCTATCATGGGTACTATTATAAACGCGGCAATACCTAATGCTGTAGCTCATCCGCAAGCTTATGCTTTGGTAAGTAATCTGTGTATCAGTCCGAGGAAAAGAGAAACTTACCTCTGTCCTTTTATTTCTGTGCAGGTAGGAATGGCAGCAATGCTAGCAGCTGTTTGCTCCGTTCCTTTGACGTCGGTTCTTTTGCTTTTCGAGCTTACCAAGGACTACCATATTCTACTTCCTCTTCTGGTACGTTCAGTTTTCTGGTGACATGACAATGTTAGTCTAAGGCATGAATCCGGTGGATAGGGAGCAGTAGGCCTGGCATTTTGGGTTGCTTCTGTTGCGAAGCAAAAGCAAATTATTGGAATAGCAGAAGATCTCGAAATGCAGCCTAGCATACGCCGGAAAGTCTGGCGGAGGAAAGGCGAGACAGACGAAGTAGAGCTTTGCACTGTGGAGGGCTACATTGCAGAAGATGAGATCCCAGAGGATGAGCTTTTGGACGAAATTAAGGTAAAAGTAACTTGCTTTTTTGTGGCTCCCCGTTGATGAACCTTTTGGATCCCTCAGGTTGCGCAGGCAATGACGAAAACTTACGTCAAAGTCCAAGCAACGGCAACGGTGAAAGAAGCCGTGGCTGCTATGCTCAGTGTACAACAACGCTGTGTCATCGTCGTGGATGACAATGAGCTCCTCGAAGGGATCATGACTCTAGCTGACTTACACAAGGAAGTGATAAGAGCGGCTATGGCCACATCCCGGGGAGACGTGACCGTCCTAGAGGTATACTTGTGTCCTCTTATTTTTTTCCAGAGCTGACATGCTTGCTTTCTCCACAGGTGGATAGCATGCTAGTTGCGGCAATCTGCACGGGCCAAGGCCGGACACTTGGAGACGATAACGAGTTACTGATTTGCTACCCTGACATGACCTTGAAGATGGCGCAGCAGCTCATGGAGCAGAAGCGATTTCATCAGCTGCCGGTTGTTTCCAGAGCTGGGCAGCAATGGCAAGAACGGGGCAGGAAGGTCGTTGGCCTTTTCTACGTTGACACGATCTCAGCCACTGTGAGGTATGCTCAAAACACTTGAAAGCTTGGTTGGTGCTCATGTCTCTTTTCTTTTCGTTTTCGCCAGAGCTGAGGCGCGGAAGAGGATCATGGCTTTGCATGCGTTGAGACAACCAAAAGAAGACGAAAAGGACGACGTGTTTGGCCACGGACATTAAAATTGCGGGGGTACGTTGTATACTTGTAGATACGCGAGTTGATTGATTCGGGGTGAGCTGTGATATTGGCTTATACCTCGCGAGAAATTTTCAAAAGGTTTTAAACACATTTGAGCAGGTGGAAACGAACACTGGAAAGTTAAGAAAAGAAGTCCTGATTAAAATCTAAGATACCATTCCGAGACATTAAAAAAAAAGGGGGGGGTAAGAGTTTTTCTCTCAATCGATCTTCACTGACGCGTATATGGTACGTACGAACCAGTAGCACGCGTAGAAGCCTATCGTGCCCGTGAAGACGAAGAAGCAGTAGGAGATGATGGCCATATAGCCGAAGTACAGGATCCCGGACGTGACCTTGGTGATCTCCAGCTTGGTGAAGAAGTAAAAGGTGGCGTAGAGGAAGAGGTAGAACGCCGAGGAGCCGGACGTGAAGTAGGCCCTCCACCACCAGTTGTAGTCCTCGCTGCAGAGCTGGAAGTAGCACAGCACGATGGTGATCTCGGCGCAGGTGACCATGAGTATCAAGAAGACGATGAAGAGGAAGCCGAAGATGTAGTAGAACTGGTGGAGCCAGATGGAGGTGAGGATGAAGAAGAGCTCGATGAACACTGCTCCAAACGGCAGGATGCCGCCGATGAGAACCGAGAAGAGCGGCCGCATGTACCACGCCTGCTCGGGTATCTGCCGGGGGATCTTGTTGGTCCTGACCGGGTCCTCGATGGCGGGCTTCTTGTAACCGAGGTAGCTCCCCAGGAAAACCAGAGGGACCGAGATGCCGAACCACAGGAGGACGAGCACGAACATGGTCGAGAAGGGGATGGCCCCCGACGACTTCTCGCCCCAGATGATCGTGTTGAGGACGAAGAAGGCCGAGAAGACGATGCCCGGGAACATGCACGCCGTCTTCACGGTGATGGACTTCCACTCGGTTCCCTTGAAGGCCTTGTAGAGCCGCGAGGAAGAGTAGCCGGCTACTGCTCCCATGCCCACCCAGATGAGCAGCATCACGGTCATAAGGCCGCCCCGGTTGGAAGGAGATAGGAAGCCGAGCAGCGCGAAGAACATGGTCACCAGAGTCATGCCCAGGAACTGGACGCCGGTGCCGGCGTAGACGCAGAGCTGGCCTGCGTGAACCGGGGCGCGGAAAACATCTCCGTGGACAAGCTTCCACCCGGTCTCCTCCTGTGCTTCTTCTTGCGTCTCCAGCTGGTTGTACTTGGAGATGTCGCGGTGTAGAGTCCGGAGCATGATCATGGCCACCATTCCGGAGAGGAACAGGACGATCATCAGCGAGTTGATGATCGAAAACCAGTGGATCTGGTCGTCGGACATGTAGAGATACATATCCCATCTCGAAGCCCATCTCACTGGACTCAACTGCATAAAAGAAAACAAACACGCAAAGTTACAAGGCGCAGAATTTTTCCAAAAACTTTCACCTGGAAGGCAACATCGTAGGTGAATATGATCTCCTCGTTCGCTTCAACCTCTTGGAAAGGTTGATCGGCACCAACGCGCCTTTTACCATCGCGAGAACAAGTTGAGAGTTTCGTGTCCGCGGGACCATTCCAGGACTTCTCAACCTCGTGCTTTACACTAGACAATAGAAAAAGCATTCAAGAAAACGTCCGTGTGAAGGGACAGACAGACCTGAAAGGAGTGACTTCAAACCCGACAATACGCGATGTCTCATAGTTCGGATCTTTGTGAATGTGTACGACGAAAGACAAGTGATTGTAAATAAAATGCTTCTCCACACTGGCCTGCGAATAAACAATTGTTTGTGGTTGGCCCGCAAAGAACTAGAACCATAAACAATGCACGTACTTCATTGACATAGCTGCCTTTGAATCCGACGTGATAGCCACGGTCGTATGCCTTGTAAGACGGATCAGCCGTGGGTTTAAGTCTCGCCAAAGGAAGATTGTCGAGTATCCTGCAAAAGAAAAACATAAAAATCTCTTACGAGCCATGAAACGTGCTCTTACATGTTGACATGATACTCCTCGTTGATCTTCCTCTTGAACTTCCTCGCATTTTTCTTCGACAGCTTGTCCGTCTTACAGACGATATTGCAGTACGAGTCCTCGCGCATCCGGAACTACACCACAGCATTAGCATCCTTTTTCTTTTCTTTTTTTCTCCCTTGGCTAAAGGTAGAGATGAAACTCACCACATAAGGAGAATTCTCGATGCGATCTCCTCGAAGAACCTCGCCCAGATTCTCAGCGCTGTTGAGGACCTTCCCCGGCTTGCAAAATGCCAAGGAATAGTAATCATAAGGAAGTTGCGTCTTCACGGACGTGAGCTTGTTCACTTTGACCTGGAGCTCGTCCCCCTGCAACAAGAAACCAAAGATCTAAGACCTAGTCCCGCAATGCGCGCCTCCCAGCGCTAGATCTTGCCCATTCCAACGCGGATTCGCAGAATGTGGGCAAAAAAGAACCGGATTTTCTCACCTGATTGAAATCCTGGGGAGCGACGCCGGGAAGATAGAATCCGGCGCACGGCTCCAGCAGCAGCGCCACGAGCAGTATCGCGGTGGGGATCCAGCGCCTCGCCTGCGCCATGGCAGCTCCACCCTAGCTAGGCACACCAAAAGAGAGAGGCCAAAGAACTGGGCAATGGCCGCCGTACGCTACGGAAGGCATATCTGCTCTCCTAATTAGCGGACTTTTGCGTCCATGCAGAGCACGCGGTTCGAATCGCATCAATTATAATATGCGCTGATAATTTTCCTGGCTCTTGTGGATAATTTGATTTTGCTTAGGTTTATTAGCTTAGTTAAAGGAATATCCAAAACCATTTCTAGAAAAATCACAGGAAAAAAGATGTTTAATTAACGACTTGTGGTGTATTAAAACTGTAAGTCAGGATGGCTAGTTTCAGGTACTAGTCCGCATGGGCATGGGTTCGAATCCCATTTCTGACACCAGATGGTTTTAATAAAGAGTAACTTTATAATTTAAATTAAATATATCTGAAAATAAATGGTTAGGATTTAATTTAGATTATAATCTGATAACAAATTTTATGTAGGAAATTGAAAATCATTCATTCATTCATTCATTAATTGTTTACAAGGTCTCGTGGCGCCAACTAAAAATCATAAAACCGACAAATTATAGCTGTTTTGATGATCTCGTGAACCACAACTCGTCTTCCTTCTTGGCTTTCATTATTTGTACAAGCAAACGCTATCATTGCGTCCAAGGCTCGCATTGAGCTGCGCAAAACCAAAGCATTCGACCGTTTACCTTCCCAAGTTCGAATCCCATTTACTGTAACATCCTGCTTGCCAGCGATTAGTGAAAATGTGGCAGCTTGCATGGCGGCGGTGACTGCCACGTACCTCACCACCTCTCCCCATATAAACCCAACGAGGCACGAAAGGAGGTCCAACAATCGCTTTTAGACACACAGCTCGATTGATAGATCATCCAGCACTCAGCTTTTGAGCAAATCTCTCGTTACGGTAGTATGGCCCAGGAAGCGCCAATCCAGGATACCAAGCAAGTGAAAGAGCTGCCAAGCGAGGAGAAGGAGGAGCTCGACCAGGCCGCGCGAGAGGGCCAGACGGTGGTGGCCGGAGGGACCGGCGGGAAGAGCTTGGATGCCCAGGTCCGTCTCGCCGAAGGTAAGAATCCATTGTTTCTCATCTTCCTTTGTGCATGGCTCTAATGCTACATTTTCATAGGACGTCACAAGGGTGGCGAGTCTCGCAAGCAGCAAATGGGCACCGAAGGCTACCAACAGATGGGGCGCAAGGGCGGGCTGAGCACCATGGACAAGTCCGGCCAGGAGCGTATGGAGGAAGAGGGCATTCCAATCGACGAGTCCAAGTATAAAACCAAGAGTTAGAGATCATATAGCTCTGAACACTAATCACTCTCTCTCTTTATATGTGATCTTTACATAGATTCTCTGCAGTCTACTTTCTGTATGTTAGATTCTCTGCATTCTACTTTTCGTATGTGATCTTACTTAGATTCTCTGCAGTCTGCTTTTCGTATGTAATCTCTTAACTAGCTATGGAAGTTCTTGGTGAAAGTCCAAAATGCGTATAGTTATTGGTTTTGCCACGAGTCAAGCTGCATGGCGTGGTAGACGTGTTTACCTGGTTGGGTAACGTGGCAGCACCACGGGGGTGTCGGCAAGCGTATAAAGTGATACCTCAATCTCAAACGTTTCACCATTGGCTCATTCCTAGTACAGTGGAAAGCGAGGGAAAGAGTGTAAAGGAATCGAGAGATTTGTCGCGAATAGGAAAAATGGCCACCAGGCAGCAGAGGAAGGAGCTCGACGAGGCCGCTCGCCAGGGCGAGACGGTGGTTCCGGGAGGAACGGGAGGGCAGAGCTTGGAAGCGCAGGAGCATCTTGCTGAAGGTAATAGAGGTTCTTCTATGTTGGCTTTCTCACTACTTTCAGGTTTCTTCTCATGATTTCCTGAGTTTCTTAGATTCTAATGCGTTTTTGTTTTGGTTTCCTTCTAAGGTCGGAGCAAGGGAGGTCAGACGAGGAAGGAGCAGCTTGGGACTGAGGGCTACAAGGAGATGGGGAAGAAAGGCGGGCTCACCACCACAGAGAAGTCGGCCGATGAGCGCATTGCCGACGAGGGCATCAAAGTCGACGAGTCCAAGTTCAAGACCAAATCTTAAGTGAAGATCTCCATTTCCTTTTCCATGTTGGTAGCTTACAAACCTGTTGATCTTAAGTTCAGTGGCTGGTTGTAAACATTTCCATTTCCTTCTCCATGTAAGTAGCTTCAAAAGCTGTTGATGTGATCCAATGTTTCTCGTACCTCAACACAAACTCTCGTGGTTGAAAAGCTCACTTTCATCCAATGTTTTCTTCGTGTTCCTTCTTGTCAACGAATATACACAAGTGCCCAGGCACTCTATGGAATGCTTCCAAGGGCTTTAAGGCCAAGAACAATACCAACACCCGCAATGTGGCCAACCACACCGAAGGCGACCGTGTCGCTTCCTGTGAATCCTGCGGGATCACCGGTTTGGAGACCCGAGTCTCTGTCCACCAGCTTCAACCCAGCCAGCGCCTGCCGGTTGGCTGACGGTGCCAATCCAAATCGCCCCGCGATGAGAGACAACGTCGTGCAAGCAACCATTATCTGGAAAAAGAAAACAAAATATGTAAGTTAGTCATGGCAGATCGATTCAAGTCGGTCTTTGAAAATTTCTAAAACGCTTTGTCGAATCGAAGTTGTCGTGAATAAAACAAACTATTCAAGTCAGTCATTGGAGTTCTAGTTCAAGGAACACGGTTTCCTACACTAGAAAAGCTATGCGTGAACTACGTACCAGATTCGTGGGTGATCCGATGAAGCCGCATCGAGCTCCGAGAGCTCCTTTGCCTCTGCATCTCAGCGACGGCAGGGCCTGGAGAATCATCCAAAGCGAAGTAATCAGCAAAATCCAACTCGAGAGAGTTCTGTAACTTACGAGGGTGGTGGTCTGAGCACGGCTGAAGCGGGTGCTGGCTTTGAGGCCCTGGAACTCACGACCAACAATGGTGCCAGGCAATGCTGCTTGTGTCGCCATGGCTGCCATCTCAATACCCAGAGACTCTAGAGAGGAGAAAAGGTGGATTGGGAACAATACCCCCAAAAGGCCTTATCTTCACCTCATTGGCCGGAGCTAGGATCAGATGTTTTGCTTAGAACTCTCTGTTTTAGCTTCAAATAAGACGTTGTTCCTACAAATAAAACCATTAGCGATCGAGGCTAGACCTGATGGGAAGCTTCTTCTAGTTCGTAGCACATTTTGTCCGAAAACTTATCCACCTAAAGTAACACCCTGCACAAAGAAGCACAGAGTTCAAGCGCATGGAGGACACAAAACCACGAACCTGCTTCAAGGCACAACTTTCTCCAACAACGCCGCAATTTAAACAAGACAAGTTCTTTAAGCAATCCATATAGAAAAACACTTGGAAAACTTGGAACACATGTTTGTAAGATGCATAAAAAAGACAACGCAAAATGTTACCTCACGAAATAAAGGACAATCAACGATGAATTAAGCCATGTCCAGCAGTGCATTGCACTCCTGGCCAGCACAAATCCAGAGTTTTCGTGGATCTGGAATCGAGTATTCCAACTAACCAATACATACCAGCTTTTATATATGTACAGATTCTCTTTCTAATTGTCCATCTTATATTCCAGCGCCTTCACAGAGACTGTCGTCGGAAATTTGGCAGCTCATTGCATCTGTAGAGAAAAAAAAAGACAGAAGAAAGAAAATTCAGAAAAATACCCCAAAAGTCGTACCGTGTTTCATCGTCAAGGCAGGAGTGGGCTCTTCTAGAGTTCCTACGACTTTGGCAGGAGTTCCAGCCGCTACACTGCAAGACTCAAAGACTAGTTGGAACAAGAAAACAACGAAAGAGAATCTAAAAAGTTAACCTGTGTGGAGGCACATCTTTAAGAACCAGTGATCCAGCAGCGACCATGGAGCAACGACCGATTCTTATGTTGCCTAGGATCGTTGCTCCAGCTCCAATGAGCACCCCTTCTTCGATTTTGGGATGCCTGTCACCGGCTTCTTTGCCCGATCCACCTAAAGTGACACCCTGTACAAAAAAAGCACGGAGCTTTTAGTGCATGGAGAACACAAAAAAGGAGAGAACGAACCTGCATCAAGGAAACTCTATCGCCTATAACACAAGTCTCTCCGATCACTACGCCCGTTCCGTGGTCAAGCATTATAGCTTTCCCGATTCGCGCAGCTGCATAGGACGTGACAAGTTCTTTAGTCTCGTAGCTCAGTATTTGAAGGAACAAAAAGCGTAGCACCTGGATGGATATCTACAGCAAACACCTGAAAAACTACAAATATTTCGTAAAACACCGTATACCCGTGGAAAGCAAATGTGCAAAACACGAAAGGTTACCTCACTGATTCTGCTTTGCAATGCGAGCGCCAACACTCGCTGCCCGCGATTCCAAAGCGCATGAGCTACTCTGTAGGATTGCAAAGCGTGATAGCCCTGAAAGCAGAGAGAAGAGGAAACAAAAAGAGTGAGCACGAAAGGAAACGTAAGCACAACCTTTAAGTACAGGAGAGCCGAACTGTAAGATCTGCACGATGGATCGCGACTTCTCACGGCCTACAAAGGGTGTAAGAAAACTAGAAAGAAAATAGAAGAAAGCTCTTTAACCTGGACATCCAGACGAATAGCTTCCTGGACTTGAGGCTCGTGCGTGAAGACATCGTCGAAAACGTCCAAGAGCTGCGTCGCCAAGAGGGTCACATTCTTCAGCCGGTTGGCGAGAACAAAGCCCACAGAGCGCTCGAAACAAGGATGAGCCAGTATACTAGCATACAGAAAACTGCTCAGAAGTGGCTCTTTCTCTGCCTGGAAAAAAAACACACACACACACACACAAAAAAGAGAGGAGAGGATGAGAAAGTTGTGATCGCCACAAGCAAGTACCTCAAGCCGTGCTTCGGCCCGGATTGCTGCCCAGATTGGATCGTGAGTTATAAGCTCGGAGAGATTTCTTCCACCTTCTTTTGGAGGCTTGGCACTGGAACAAGGTGGCGCTGACAATGGAGTACTTACGTGTGACTCGAGCTCTTTCACGGACTCGGCGGCTGCCTTGGCCGCCGAGACTTCGCCACCAACGACTCCATCGCCACAGTGATCATCCCCACCTCCACTCTGGATGTAGGCAGGGAAGACACTCTTCCACTGTTCTTCGTCCACGGCAGGAGAGCGAGAATCCTTGGCGGGAGAATGCTTGTCGATTCCTTCAAAGCTCGCCCGGCTCTTGTCCTCCTGCGGCTCGGCGCTCTTGTGGGAGTACTGGCCAAACCCAAACGGCGCGTTGATCTCGCTCCCTTCGAAGCTGCTCAGGCTGGTGTCCTTGGCCTGCTCCGTGATCCTGCTCGCCCGGAAGCTGGATTGATCGTCCCGGGCCCGAAAAGCCCCATTCGATCCATTTGGGTCGGCTGCTGCTCCGCAGCGGACGTGAGGCGACATGGCGATGCGCCTGTATCCCACGATCGAGCTACCGATTCCAACAGAGCCCAGCCACAATGCCATCTAACGAGACACCCTACATACCTTGCCGGTTTAGGGTTCTTAGAATTGGTAATCCCAAAATATAATACAGACAAATGCTGGGCAGCCAAGTGTTCAATAGATGCACATGTGAATGCTCAGTACCGTGATTGAGTTTAACATAATCTTGATGTTTACTATATTTGATATAGGATATGCTTGGTGGAGAGAGAGATGGTTATACTCACCATATAGCCATATTTACCTTGAGAACCTTTTTATTAGGACAAATCTTACAGTTATAAAATGGGTGCATAATCACTCTTAAGAAATTGTTTTAGGAGCATGATAAAGGTTCATAAGATTTGTTATGTTTTTCAATATATGTTATACTTACATTCTGTTCAATCACCTCCAAATTGATACATTAACTATATTATATTTATAATTAATCAGTGTATGGAGAAAAAGGATTATTGTTTTAGAGGGATGATTGCTTTGAGAGTCTATATCTGAAGAGTGAAAGATCTATAGTGCAATGATGCATTTGTGTACATGTTTTTAAATTTTTTTGCATTGAGTGGAATAGATACACCTACATTTTCCATGTGAAAAGAACTGATTAAAAAACTAGCCTCAGTAACAATCTTTGAATGATTTTCTATCTCACAAGAATGTTTATCTTTTATCCTAGTGGAAATGCAGTTTTAAGCATTACAAAGTTGTTCATGGGCTCTTTTCTTTTCCCTTATTATGCTCTATCAACCTTACCCTTTCTAAAAATATTTAAAACTAATTAAATATGACTTAACACAATTTTCTAACATCTAATGAGTAGAAGCAGCCATCAAAGTTTTGTCAGGTGGCTTATATGGTAGACTGTAAAAATCCCAATACCTTGATTTTTGTGTAAATCCCTAGCCAGTAGAGGAGTAGAGGAGCAATGGAAATTAGAAAGGAGAAGAAGCTTGAGAGGGTATTACAAGCTAGAGTTTCCATAGCAGGTAACAAAGTGAATCTTGGGCCCCTGCTAGACAAGGTGAAAAAAATCAAGTCGCCACTCTAAAATTAGTAAGTCTATAAACTGGAAGGATGTGGCAAGTTCCATGGGGTTACCACCACACTGTGGGCCTGATGTCAAATCAGCCCACCACCTCAAGGCTTTTGAGAGTGGCCAGGTCTTTGGTGCTACATTTGATGCCACCAAAGGGAATGTTGATCCAAATGCAAAGGCACTAATCCACTCTCATGTCAAAGAGGCCCTGGCCCATTTAAGGAAGTTGGCTTTGGATCCAGGAAATGCAGGCCACAGTGAAGGGGACAACGGGAAATTCCAAGAAACAATCAAGGGATTCTTGGGTCGCCTCCAGAGCAACCACCTCAAGGTACAATTAATTGATTAATTACATTGTTTACATAACTTTTAAGTACAGAGCAATAGACCACGACGACCTTCCAAGTATGTGCTTCGCTCTCGCACACCCCACACACCTCGACCCAAACTTCAGCCTCAAACTCCCTTGGAGCGCAAGAGCGTTCCAGTCGGAGAAAGATTTCAAGCTGTAGTTCCCTCTACCGTGGCTGTCAATGCTGACAACGATGACGAGAACTCAAAGCTCTTTCTAGGAGAAGTGGTCTGGTCCAAAACAGTGGCGAGAAGCCATAGCGCTAGTATGTGCTTCTGCACGGACGATGGCTCGGAAGACTGTGTGAAACTACACGTCAACGAGCAACGCGGGAAGCTCAAGCAGGAGCTGGGAGAGGACGTCTTCCGAGAGTGGGGGTTCCACACAATGGGAGAGAGCTTGATCAAGTTGGCCAAGTGGAGCATGCAAGAGCAAGCCGAGTTTTCGGCAATTGTGAGACGGTGCCAGGGGGACAACGAGAAGAAGCTTTGGCCGGACCTCCAAGCTTCCTTCGCGGGAAGGAGGAACCGGGAGGAACTGGGAAGCTACTACTTCAACGTCTACGTGCTGAGGAAGAGAGCTCACCAAAACAGAACCTACGCACCCGACAGTGAGAAGTTTGATACTGATAAGGAGGACGACGACTTACTGGTGACCTGCGAGTCTTATGAGAGCTTTCTTTACTTGAGGCATGTTTTTGGACCCGCGCTCCTTGAAGCGATTCTCAGACTTATCTAAAAGGTAATAAACTATCTTATGTACACAAGAAAAACAAAAATACCTCGATCACCTATAACACAAGTCGTTCCATGGTCAGTTCGCGCAGCTGCATGGACGTGACAAGTTCTTTAATCTCGTAGCCCAGTGTCTGTAAGGAGAAAAGCGTACAATGAGAGGAGAAGCACGGAAGTAAAGCATTAGATGGATCACTTACGCATTTTGAAGAAACCATTGATTGTTAACGTAGCAAGAGCAGAGAGGTTATCTCACTGATTCTGTTTTTCAATGCCAGCGCCAACACTCGCTGCCCGTGATTCCACAGGATTGTAAAGCGTGATAAGCCCTGCAAGCAAACAGAAGAAGAAACACGAAAGAGTGAGCACCAAAGAAAACGAAACACAATCTTCAAGTACAAGAGAGCCGAAGTGTAAGATCTACATGATGGATCGCGACTTCCAGACGAATAGCTTCCTGGCGTGCATGAAGACATCGTCGAGAACTTCGAAGTGCTGCGTCGCCAGATTTTTCAGCCGTTTAGCAAGAACAAAGCCGACAGAGCACGCGAAACATAAACTAAAGAAGAACTACTCTTTCTCAGCCTTGGAAAACACACACAAAAAAATTATGAAACTTGTGATCGCAACAAGCAAATACCTCAAATCGCTGCCCTCGTGAGCTATAAACTCCGAGAGATTTCTTCCACCTTTGGGAGGCTTGGCCCTGAAACAAGGTCGCACTGACAATGGAGTATTATGTGTGACTCAAGCTCTTTCAGCGGCTGCCTTGGCCGCCGAGACTTCGCCACAACCACATTAATCTTAAGACACTCTTCCACGACAGGAGAACCCTAGAGTTCCCTCGCAGCTTGCCCGGCTCTTGTCCTTCTGTGGCTCGACGCTCGCGCGTTGATCTGACTCCCTCGAAGCCGCCCGGAAGCCGATTTTGATTGCGAAAAGCCTTCAGCGGATTCTATATGTTAGAGAGATATTTATTTGTAAATCTTAAACTATGAAGCATGGGCGAACTCTCAAGTTCTCAATTCGTTGTGTTTCTTACTTCTTCTTTTGGATACAATGGATCAATCAGAAGGTGTTTCTCAATGTGTTAAGATTGTGCTGATTTTGGTGGCACTGATTGAATTGGCAGAGGTCGAGCACCCCAAATTGAGCATTGGAGTTGCTCATATTGGATTGGGTGAGGAGGCGCGCGGCCTGCCGAATGTCACCCCTTTTCCGCAGTGTGTTGGCTTAGGTGGATTCCTAAAGAGTATTGAGATCAGGATAGTGTTGTAAATAACCAAATATTATAAGAATATTCCTAGAATCTCTAACAGGTGACTATTAGAGAATCCAAAAGTATTGCATATAGATAGAGTATAAGGATGGATGATAAAAACATAAAGAGAAAATAGAAAAGGAAGTGGAAAGAGCTGTGGGGTCAAATTAGAACATGAACAAGAAAATAGAAAAAAGAAGAGATCACAATAGCTAAAGAAAAGAAGTAAGCTAAAAATGCGTCTCAAACCTAGATCTCTGCCTTGTGGGACTTATAGCACAATGTTATATATATTTTAAGATCAATTTAGAGTTCAAATGAAAGAAAAGAAGAATAGAAGATGCATTAGTGAAGGATGTGAATGGATGAATGGAAGGTGAAAGGAAAACCATTGCTTGATCAATAACTAGAACCTATAAAGAGTCCCCAAAAATAGCACACTACATGCTCACCACAACAATGTCGAAGAGAAAGTGGCAAATGATCAATACTGAGAGATTATCTATACAAAGTACTATTGGTCATTAAGAGAGGTGAAATAATGTAAAAATTATTTCATAAGAAGGACTTAGATGCCTCTGCATGTAATGTTATTAGAAGTCTTAGTTTGTTGCTAAGTTGAAACCATTGCACTGATCTAGTTGCGTTTATAACTTGTAAATAATAATGAATCTTTTGGTTGAAACTTTTGTCATGTCTAAAGACCATCTAGATAGTAAGTTGAAATGAAAACCGTTGAAAAAAATGTCAAGCCCAGCTGTGGTATCATAGAAAAGAATGGGAGTGTCATTTGTAAGCAATACTATAAGAAATGATTAGCAAGTGATAATGGTGACTATAAAAATGAAAAGAAATGTTCAGTGAAAAATGATGAGAGTGATGGAGGGAAAACTAAAAACCCTAAACATGATTTAGAAAACTTAAAGCTTAGAGGGTAAAGTCTTATGAGGCTAAGAACCATAGTCCAAGAGCATTCCTCATAACTGCACAACCTGAAGAGAAGTGAAATAAAGTGAGAAAATTGGAAAAAGAAAGAAATGAAAAACAAAACAAAAGCAAAATGAAAAAAAAAGTGTAAAAAACACTTGGTGAAAATCCTACCTGGAAGGGCATTGCTACAAGTGTGACAACGGCCTGCATTCACTATAAAGTGGAAAAAATAAAAGAATATGCTTAATGGTTGTTGATGTGAATGATCCAGTCTTAGAGTTGAGAGATTCTACTCCATGTCGAGACATTCAAAATCACTACATTATAACATGTTTGTTTCAACTCACATGAAACATATTTAGATATATAGTGTATAGAGGAGTCTTTTGAAGTCCACCATAGAGATCTAGTGCCAAAAGATTTGGTAGAAAGGTTGTTATAAAAGAAAACTTGTCTATTACATCAAATGCTTATAAGCCAAATGCATAAGATCCATGTTTTTCAACTTGTTCTAAAGGTTGAAAATCCTCCTCAAGCCTACTATGAAGCTTTTTTATTTGCTGTAGAAGTGAAAGCATAGCTAGATTAACCAACATCTTTAACTCATTTGTACCAAGTATAGGTAGAATCTTTGTTGTACCTTGTGATTGGTTGGTCCTGACTAGGTTATGAGAACATGAGTAAAAATGAAAAGAGCATTCTAAAAACCCTATCTAATCAAATTGTAAAAAAGTGACAACATTGCAATCCATTACCTTGGTTGAAAAATCTTTAGTTCCAGAAGAATTTAAATAAACCTAGGGCCTTGAAATAGACAAGAAATTGATAGAAAGAGTTCTTAAAAGGAAAATTATTGAAAAAGGTGGTATTTATAATTATAATGTAAGCAAGCAAAGAAAATAACTTGAATTGGTGCCATAAAATAGAACACTTTTTTTTTTTAATCTCTTAAGGTTTTTTGGGATATATAAAGTTTTAAGTGTCCTTAGGTTTGAGCAGTATTGAAATAAATGACTTTCCGAGAAATTTAAATTCATGATCTTTAGGTGGGGAAATAGTTTTATATTCAGGATTTTTGCGTGAGGAAATAGCTTTATGATGACATAATCTATGATATGGAGCTCAAGCAATGATGTATCATTGGGAAAAAGGAAAGAAATTGGAATACTTAACTAAAATTTATTTAGATCTTTTGATTTGTCCATATTCCATATGATGCCTCAACTTAAAAGTGAAGCATCCAATACCATCTATTGCAAGATTTTTTAAAACATCTAATTGTTATAATAACTATTATAAAAGACCATTAATTATCCCATCAATGAAGAGATGCATAATCATCATTGAAGAAAGAATCTACTATCACAAAGAATGGTAAATCATTCAATACTAACAATAATCTAGCAAAATCTTTAACAAGGATAATCAACTATCCTAGATGATAGTCAATCATCATCAATGATTACCAGATACAAATACTAACTTCAATATCAAAGTTAATAAGCCAAAAATGTAGTCTCTAACAACTCCTAGCAAATGGAATAATGAACATGAAAACTCAAAGAATTAAAAATTCAAAGAAGCCTATAATAAAGTCTTACATAACAAAGATCATGAGTTTTGCATGAACTAACTTTAATGCTAAAGAAGAAATTATGGTATAATCCACAATATCCTCCTTTACACATCCATAAGCTAAACTTCATAATGCAAAGCTAATGAAGAGCATATCTACATTAATCCAAAAGCCAAACACAATGGAGTTATGCTCAATAAGTGATTACTAAATGATCTTCCATGAATCCATCAATAGCAAGACGTAACTCTCTTCATAACAAACACAAGAGAAATCATTAATAATCAATATATCCCTAACTCAAATTTAACAAACATCTTTAATATCAATCACTAACTCTTCCTCTTATAAAGCTAGTATAGTTCATGACTAAATCACTTTCTAAGAAAAAGCTAAAACTTAACCCCTACTAAATAATCTCGTCTAAAACATGACTAACTCAACTTGCCACTCAGCTCGTTTAAATACCAACATAGTTACTAACCAATAAATACATGAATGCCAATAACACAAAGTTACAACCAAATCATCAACACGATTTATATCAAGACTAATAAAACTCAATATCAATCCTACAAAAAGACATCTCATTTCACATGAGGTTCAATGACAATAGCTAATGTTTCGTTGGTATTTCCATATTTTGATGGTATCAATTTTTAAATACATTGAATCATAAACAAGCGTACAGCCACCTGGCTTGAGGTCAACTTGGAAATAAGCATACAGCCACCTGGTAGTTTCCTTTCCCATCCTGTGTGAGATCCATCCCAGGGGATTGTTCTGGGAGTGTTCTCATTCTCTATAGAGCGCTATGCCGTGAGGCCTGGCTTCTCTCATCAGCAAAGCTGCTGAAGACAGCGCATATTGTCCCAAGAGGAGCACGACTATTCAGCTCACAGGAGAGAGCTTTCGCAGCAGCCCCCTCGTCAAGATCACCCGGCCACAGAACAGGCCTTTAACGTCCCACTTGAGAGGAAGCAGCGGGCAGAATCCCAGCGCATCCAGCTACAGCAGCCTACCATCCCGCGCTTGCTGCTCCCAACCGATCAGCGCATTCAGGTTGCCAGAGTCTCCTGCGCTTGGCTGCGCGCCCACACAGAAGAGGAAAAAGCGGCAGTCAAAACTCGCCCTTCTCAACTGGGAGTCCCGCATGTTCACAGCCGTGGGATCTTCCAGGTGAGATCCGCCAGATCTCAGCCGTCCATAGGAGTGCAGATCAACGGCGGGAACCATGCACAGAATCGTGACATGGTTTGGCAAAGATTTCACTTATTTTGGACGGCCCAGGAGGCCCGGTGGAGCGTTTTATTATATAGATTATCACATTTTATAGAAAACGTGGTACCTATATATTAAGAGTAGAATATGAGTTTCATGGCTTGAAGCATTCCCAGAGCCTCAGCAGATGAGCTTCGTAGACTGCAATGTTCCCACCAGGTTCAGATCCAATTGTGCTTGTTAATGCGTAGCCCTGAACGTTCCTGAACTCTCCTGTGCCCCCAACAATAGCGATTTCCCTTTGAGGCTCAGTGAACGGGTTCTGACCATGGAACACTATTGTACCTTTCCGCCCTTCCAGCTCCACCGTCATGCTCTGGAGAAAGCTGCTGCTGCTCAGTGAATCTAACACCAGAAAACCCTTGGCT